CCCCACGCCCCCCGCCCCCAGCTCCCTTGTCAAAGTATTTATAGGAGATTGATTCATGGACCTGTGTCTAATTATATCCATTCACATCTAATATGAATGAGAATTATTTTAGGAGACAAGGCTGCTAGAAAGGTTTTGACCTAAGAAAGAGGAGGCGGCTGCTGCGTATGCAGCTCACACCCTATAAAAGGCGCCTCAGACTAGTCTGTCTCGTCCCCCAGCTCCCTTGTCAAAGTATTTATAGGAGATTGATTCATGGACCTGTGTCTAATTATATCCATTCACATCTAATATGAATGAGAATTATTTTAGGAGACAAGGCTGCTAGAAAGGTTTTGACCTAAGAAAGAGGAGGCGGCTGCTGCGTATGCAGCTCACACCCTATAAAAGGCGCCTCAGACTAGTCTGTCTCGTCCCTTCCCAGAGAGCTCAAGGTAAGAGTGTAGGGTCTGAAAGCAGGGGGAAGCCCACCCTCCCGGCTGCTGCCAGCCCCCGTCTCCAGCAGGGACTGCCTGTGCCAACCAGATTTTTAAACCCACTTCTCAAGGCACCGATCCGTTCTCAAGCTACCCTTTATCACTGGAGTTTCATGCAGCAGTAAGAAGGGAATTTCTGTTTCTATTTGACAGTACTGACTGGCTTCCAGCCTGCATACTATCCACCTGGGAACCCCAAAGAGGTAAGATTCTGATTTCCTGATTTCCAAGGATGTGTGTGTGAATGACCCTCTAGTTTGGCATATCTATATAGCTGCATGATAGTCAATGTGTCCCCAGTGGGCTTATGCCCATTGTGTAACTGCACTGCATATTATGCTCGGGCTGTGTTGGCCATGACAGCCAGCTCCTAAAGTGACTGGGCTTGAAACCACAGACCGCTGATGCTGGGCTGCCCAGTGCCCTCCTCGAGATACCGCTCCCGATGACCCACGTTGCAATACAATTATACGCAGTGAGCTCCTAGCCCCAGCTCTTAGATCCCTAACAAGCCAGGCCAGAGGAGCCCAACAGGGGTGCCTACCAGGGGACCGAATCTAATGACATGTCCTCAGAATAAATTCATTCTTTTAATGAGCATGTTGCCGGAACCTCCTCTGCCCCCAATATGATTGACAGTAGTGGTGGCCTCGCTGGCAGAGACACGCATTTCTGGGGTAAATGCAAACAAAGTTTTCATCGCTTGCTGCACAGAGCAGCGTAGTGAGTGGCATGTAGAGAGCCAGGCGTGAGTTGCCTTCAGAAGAGGGTTACGGGCAAAACTGAAGGCAGCTCGTGGCCCTTTCACACCAACTCCCTGACCAGTCTGACGGAGCCATTAATGCACTGCGTAGTTCTTATCTAGTTAAATAAAGAAATTATAAAAGGAGTAATGGCAAAAAAGATGTATTGGTAATATTTAGTTAACTGATGCAAGAGAGATAGGCAGACAGAATAACTATTAAGATTAAATTGCTTAAATTGGCAGCACTGACTTATTCCCAAGTGTATGAAAATAATTGGCAGAGGACCTCTCTGAACAATTAATGTTGATTTTTAACAAATCTTGGAACATTGGAATAATTTCAGAGGAATGAAAAAAGCTGATATTGTGTCAATATTTAGAAAGGATAAAAAAAGATTACTTAGTAGCCTGATGTTGACCCCAGGCAAAACCATGGAAAAGCTGGGAACTTGTAAAGCAATGTAATCAATTAATTAAGTTTCATTAATACCAAAGTATCTGGTTTCACAGAAAACAGATCTTGTTAAACAAGCTTTCGATTTTTTTTATGAGATCATGAGTTTGGTTGATAAAAGAAACTCTGTACACATAATATACCTAGTCTTCAATAAGACGTTTGAATTCGTCCCATGTGACATTCCGATAAAACAAAAAAGCACAGTCAGTGTAGCCCACCTGCAATGATTTAAAAACAAGTAACCTGCTAGATCTCAAGAAGCGATTTTACATGTAGGCTCATCACTCATGGCAGATTTCTAAAAGAGGCACAGAGGGGCTGGTTTTAACCCAATGCCAACCAGTCTCTGCCAATGCGCAAGTCTGCAGATGACAGTGGTAAATAATGCTGAGTACCGTTCTACAGACCAGACTGGATCATTTGTAAAGCTGGGCTCATTTGATCAACTTGTGTTGATTTAATACAGCCAAATACAAAGAATGTATACACTGGGGAACAGAATTCCTGAATTCCTGGATTCTAGGATCAGCTTAAATTACAACCACAGCACTATCTTTATTATTCAATTCTGCCTCAAAATAACAGCCTGTCTTATCCCTCTCCATGCTCAGTCCCTAGTGCCTGCAACAACTCTTTCACTGTAAGCAGCACACACTGTCTAGTTTATGCCAAGGAAAGAGGACCTGAGAGGCCTTTCAAAATTCCTAGTATGTTTTTGGCTTTTCCTGCTCTCTCCTGTAAGGATCTGTGTATGTAATTCCTATCAACCAATGTGGGTAGCCAATGGTAGGCATCCCAGGAACTGCAGGGCCTCTGATTATAGAGCTATGAATAGGTAAGGTTATAAATAGGGGAGGAATTAACATTGTGATAAGAAAAGCTCAGAATTAGTGTCTGGTCATAAATAGGTGAGAGAACCTCTCACCCAGACCTCCTCAGGGGCAGCTGGGAGCACATGGCTAGTTAAACAAGTATAAGAAACAGACAGGGCAGAATATTCTTAATAAACAGCATATGGGTTAATGTCACACATTCTCTCCCCATCACAGCTTGCTGTTGAGGGGCCCTAGCTAAACCGCAGCCATGTCTTCGGATGCTGAGATGGCCGTCTTTGGGGTGGCAGCTCCTTTCCTCCGCAAGTCGGAGAAGGAGAGAATTGAGTCGCAGAACAAGCCTTTTGATGCCAAGACATCGGTCTTTGTGGCGCATCCCAAGGAATCCTATGTGAAAGGAATACTCCAGAGTCGGGAAGGAGGGAAGGCCACAGTCAAGACGGAAAAAGGAGAAGTAAGTAAAACTAAGGGGTAAAGAATAGCATTTTGTTCCTCCTGTGTCCTAGCTGACAAAAATGGGTCCCTTGTTTCCTTCCAGACGTTGACTGTTAAGGAAGATCAAATCTTCTCCATGAACCCTCCCAAATATGACAAAATTGAGGACATGGCAATGATGACCCATCTCCATGAACCTGGTGTCCTGTATAACCTCAAAGAGCGTTATGCAGCCTGGATGATCTATGTAAGTACACGCTGAAGCCTTCCTGTGCCTCCCAAACTGGCAGCTACACTAAACCATGTGGAATCCAATTGCCTTCTCTCCCTTTCTTTCAGACCTACTCAGGCCTCTTCTGTGCCACTGTCAACCCCTACAAGTGGCTGCCAGTGTACAACCCAGAGGTAGTGAGTGCTTACAGAGGCAAGAAGCGCCAAGAGGCCCCTCCGCACATCTTCTCCATCTCTGACAACGCCTATCAGTTCATGTTAACGGGTGAGCGGCTCAGCCACTGAAACGTGATTATATGGTGAAAGTTTCCTAAGAATAGGCACAATCTTCCGCCCAAGAAATATGATGTGCAGCTAAAGACACTGAAAATGTTCAATACTAAAAATGTGCAAACGAGAATTTGTTCAAAGACAAACTGAACCTGACCCAAGCAGTAGCCCATCTCTCAGCCCTTTTCTACAGTAGGACTTTATTTTGAAATACCCCCCCTAAGGTTGAATTTATAAGTGGAGCATCCACACTACTAAGCCTGTTATTTTCAAATAATGGGCCACGGAATTTGAAATCTGTACTCCTGCTTTTCATCAGGAGTAATGCTAATTCTGAAATAGTTATTTTGAAATAACAGCAGTGTGGACGCTCCAGTGCTGCTATTTCGAAATAATTACTCCGCAGAGTAATTCGAACTAATTATTCCCCAGTGCTTCCTGGGGCTCTAAGTCTGAGGTAGTACATTCACATTAATGGAGCCTGTCTTGGACTACTTTTGATGCTTCCCCATAGTGAGGATATGCAAGTTCGAGTTTGTTAAATCGGGAATTCTCAAGTTGAATTTAATCATTTTGAAATAGTTTCCTCGTGTAGACATGGCCTCAGAGAGGCCAATCAAATCTTTACCAAAATTCATAAGGGTGTGGTTAATTGAAAATGTATAGAGCGTCCTTATCTGCTACTGAACATCCTGGCTCTAGCTGAGTCCAACGAAGAATTGTCAAACAAACCATAACACTGATCTCAGGAACCCTTACTTTGGGTGCTGTATGTCATTTACACTTGTGCAAAGTGGTACATCAGAATCCTCCATGCCCTCACACCATGAGTGGAAGTTCAAACACACGGACGTCACACTGTTTTTGTACTGCTGCTAAACCGATGGCTATAAAATGAGGGTCAGGCTATTATTCGGTATACGCCTTTGCTGTGCAGAGAAGTTGCTTGATCGGATTTCTGTAAGAGGGAATTGTGTGGAAGGGAAGTGGGCACAAGTATCCTGTGATGGCTCCATTGTTCTGCGTGGGTTTATGTTTATCATTTATTATGGCTAGGTTCTTCAAAGGGGGCTGAGGGAGATAGATTCCCAGCTCCCATGGACTTGAGTTAGTTGCCTGATGGTCTGAGGCCCTTTGCAAATCCCAGCACTTATTTGTTTCACTCCATTTTCAGTCAGCTCCATGTTCCCCAGTAATTCTTTTAAAAGTCTCCTTTGTTCTGTCTCTTTCACAGATCGGGAGAATCAGTCGATCCTAATCACGTATGTATATTTCCCTGCTCTGGTCTGCGCTGGCTTTGCTGAGTGCTGCAGGGAGAACTCTTTGGTTATGTGTTCTCTGCTTCTCTGTTTGAATGGACAGTGGAGAATCCGGTGCTGGAAAGACTGTGAACACAAAGCGTGTCATCCAGTACTTCGCAACAATTGCAGTTTCTGGGGAGAAGAAGAAGGAAGAGCCAGGCAAAATGCATGTGAGTTGGAAACTGGTGATGGAATTAAATGCTCTGTTCTGAAACTGCCATCTACTTACAGGTCTATAGCAACCTTAATTTGACAATAATTATTGCTTTGTAGGGGACCCTTGAAGATCAAATCATCAGCGCCAACCCTCTGCTGGAGGCCTTTGGTAATGCCAAGACCGTGAGGAACGACAACTCCTCGCGCTTTGTAAGTCTTCTTGACAGAATTATTCCTAGTCACAAGTGCAGTGCAATGGGCCATTGACAGTCCTATCATTAGAATGTGATAGTATAAATCTAGGCTGAAATTGAGATTTCTAACGTTGCAAGGACTCCCCAGCTTTGTAAATCCCACTCCTGGAGTCTACCTCAGAAGGTTTTTAATGAAATGATTTTTTTTCTATTACAGGGTAAATTCATCAGAATCCACTTTGGTACGACAGGGAAACTGGCTTCTGCTGACATTGAAACATGTAAGAAATGTTCCTTAAAGGGTCACAATTCTCTGTATTTTTTCCCCCTCCCCCCACCCCGTGTCTTTTCTTGTGTCTAATTGTACTTTACCTGCCTGGCCAGATCTGCTGGAGAAATCCAGAGTCACTTTCCAGCTCAAGGCGGAGAGAAGCTACCACATCTTTTATCAGATCATGTCCAACAAGAAGCCAGAACTAATTGGTAAGAAATGTTTAACTCTTTTGATGGAAGCTGACACTGAGTCACACTCACTAAGGGGCTTGCTTACATGGGCAGTTATGGTTCTATCTCCACTGCATTGTTAGCCCAGGCTCAGACTCAGGTTTGAGCCCATCCCCTCCCATAGAGTTCATGTCCAAATCTGAGATGGGTCAATATGCCCTTAGGGATTGGTCCAACCTCAAGTCCCCTTGCGACTCTGGGCCAAGCTCCATCATTTCACAGTGTGGATGCAGCTCAAGCCTGGGCCCCCAGCAGCAGAGCATCTGGGTCTGTGAGCAGTATGGATACATCAGTGTGGTTCTGAGAACTAAGTCCATCAAGTGTAAATTGCATATGCTCAAACTTGGAAACACGGAGTTTGTAAGTGGGGTCAGAGACCTAGGTGTGCAATGGAGTGCAGAGTAGACCTACCCGTAAAGCCCTGTGTTACCGAGAGCAAGGCTGTGAATGTAGATGTGACCAAAGACCAAACTGTGTGGCCAGTATCTCTGCTTGTTTTCAGAGATGCTTCTGATTACCACCAACCCATATGACTTCCCTTTTGTGAGTCATGGTGAGATCACTGTAGCCAGCATCGATGACCAGGAAGAGCTGATGGCCACAGACGTGAGTAACACTTAAGAATGATTATGTAGAGTATTAACTTTACTAGACAAGAGCTTTATGTTAATGATTCTGTTGGCAGAGTGCCATTGATATCCTGGGCTTCAGTGCTGAGGAAAAAACAGCCATTTACAAGCTGACTGGGGCAGTCATGCACTATGGGAACATGAAGTTCAAGCAGAAGCAGCGAGAGGAGCAGGCGGAGCCAGATGGCACAGAAGGTATTGGTGAAAGCTGAGCCAAACTCTCAATAACACAAACAAAAACTGAAGCCTTACTCATCACTTGGCCTGAGCTTGGTTCTGGCACAGTTTGAGGCCTGGGAAGTTGACTATAAGAGCTGATCTAAGTTGCATCAGCTGGCATTGATCTCTATGGACCATTCTGTTGGCCATGAAATGCTAAAATGCAAAGGGCTCTGGCCCCACTCCCTCCAACTCCCAGCATACATTCTCTACATCCTTACTATGCCCCCACTGAACCATCTTGACACCATACAAATCATAGGCCACCTTTTTAGATAATCTTTCTTGTGCTTTGGGTTGCCTGGACTGCAAAGGGCAGCCAGAGAAGGGGCCAAAAAACTAGTTCTTAGGCTACAGAGATGAAAGATGATTGAATACTAAAAATTAAATGTTTATATTTAGTGCATTTGAGACACATGTAGCAAATTAATGGAATAAAATATCCTTAGTGAGCCCATTTTTGTTTTCAGATGGAAACTTTCATAAACTCAACAGGATATGTACCCTGATAACCGAAGGCACAAAATGCCGTACATGAAAGACGATTTTAATACATTTCTTTACTTTGTTTAGTCTTCTGGGGAACAAGCTTTAGAGTCCAAGGTTACCTTTTAGTGTTAGAATGCTTTGGCAGAGATTCTATAGGTATGCTTGAAATGCATTGTTTTAGCCACTTAGGCTCTGACTTACAACTGTATTTAGACACCTAAAGATTCAGATACTTGCCTACTGGGATTTCAAGAGTGTCTAAACATCAATAGAAAACCAATGGGACCCAGGTACATAATCTGCAGAAGTGGTTTTGACAATCCCCTGGAAGTGATCCTCACTTTTGAAAATCAGGTCCTTTCACCATTTCATCTGCTTCTTTCTCCTCTGATGATTTTTACTGAGACCATTTGGGGTATTTTTGGACAAATTCTTATACACTTGGGCTTAGTCTAGACTGCAGGGTTTTTGCACAAGAAGCCTTTTGTGGAATAAGCGCATACCGACCTCAAAGTGCATCGCAAAAGTGATGTGCTTTTGCGCAAGAGAGCATCCACACTGCATGGACACTCTTGCACAGAATGGCAATCAGAGCACCTGTGCTTTTTCCGATATGGGTTTCTTGCACAAAAACCCTTCCGGTGCGTCCACACCTGCCTTTTTGTGCAAGAGCTGTAGCGCAAAAAGGAGTTATTCCTCGTGGGGAGAGGAATAACTCTACTGGCAAAAGCCCTCTGTTCTGTCAATTTTCTTGCACAAAAATGCACTTGAGGTGTGGATGCTCTGCCAGTTTTTGCTCAAAAATGGCCGTTTTTGCCAAAAAACATTGTAGTGTAGACATAGCCTCATTGTACAGACCCTCTCAATCAAATACAAAATTTTTTCAGAAACAAATCAAGAACCAAAGGAAACTCTAAACTCTATATCTATTGGAGTTGTTAATATTATGTGGCAGCAGGTGAAACTCAAACAGATCTCATTGTTTTTTCTAGTCACTATAAAAGATACTGAAGCCTATCTCGGAGCTTGAAGGCTAGGACTATAACAGAGTTTAAAGAGAAGCTAGATAATTTCATGGAGGTTAGGTCCATAAAAGGCTATTAGCTAGGGGATAGAAATGGTGTCCCTGGCCTCTGTTTGTCAGAGGCTAGAGAAGGATGGCAGGAGACAAATCGCTTGATCTTTGTCTTCAGTGCACACTCTCTGGGGCACCTGGTGCGGGCCACTGTCGACAGACAGGTTACTGGGCTAGATGGACCTTTGGTCTGACCCAGTACGGCCGTTCTTATGGAAGCTGACATGGGCATTTCTACACTGCATTGTTAGTGCAGGCTCAGACTCAGTTTTGACTCAGGTCACTATGCCCTTAGGGATTGGTTCAACCTCAAGTCTCAGTGCGACTCTGGGCCAAGCTCCATCATTTTGCAGTGTGGATGCAGCTCAAGCCTGGATTCCTAAGAACAGAATGTATGACTCAGTTCTGTGAGCAGTAGGGATGCATCATCATGGTTCTGAGAACTGAGTCCATGAATTATAAAATTGGAGCATGATGCAGCTATGCCAGGTTGGAAATTCAGAATCTGTAGGCATGAGGTCCTCAAAGCAGGGTTGATAAGGGAGTGTAGCCATATCCTTAAAGCCCTGTGTTACCCTGAGCGAGGTCAGGAATCAATATGTGCCTAAAGACAAACTGCAGCACATAAACATTGGTATCCATGCTTGTTTTCAGAGATGCTTCTGATTACCACCAACCCCTATGACTTCCCCTTCGTGAGTCAAGGTGAGATCACTGTAGCCAGCATCGATGACCAGGAAGAGCTGATGGCCACAGACGTGAGTAACACTTAAGAATGATTATGTAGAGTATTAACTCTACTAGACAAGAGCTTTACGTTACTGATTCTGTTGGCAGAGCGCCATTGACATCCTGGGCTTCACTGCTGAGGAAAAAACAGCCATTTACAAGCTGACTGGGGCAGTCATGCACTATGGGAACATGAAGTTCAAGCAGAAGCAGCGAGAGGAGCAGGCGGAGCCAGATGGCACAGAAGGTATTGGTGAAAGCTGAGCCAAACTCTCAATAACACAAACAAAAACTGAAGCCTTACTCATCACTTGGCCTGAGCTTGGTTCTGGCACAGTTTGAGGCCTGGGAAGTTGACTATAAGAGCTGATCTAAGTTGCATCAGCTGGCATTGATCTCTATGGACCATTCTGTTGGCCATGAAATGCTAAAATGCAAAGGGCTCTGGCCCCACTCCCTCCAACTCCCAGCATACATTCTCTACATCCTTACTATGCCCCCACTGAACCATCTTGACACCATACAAATCATAGGCCACCTTTTTAGATAATCTTTCTTGTGCTTTGGGTTGCCTGGACTGCAAAGGGCAGCCAGAGAAGGGGCCAAAAAACTAGTTCTTAGGCTACAGAGATGAAAGATGATTGAATACTAAAAATTAAATGTTTATATTTAGTGCATTTGAGACACATGTAGCAAATTAATGGAATAAAATATCCTTAGTGAGCCCATTTTTGTTTTCAGATGGAAACTTTCATAAACTCAACAGGATATGTACCCTGATAACCGAAGGCACAAAATGCCGTACATGAAAGACGATTTTAATACATTTCTTTACTTTGTTTAGTCTTCTGGGGAACAAGCTTTAGAGTCCAAGGTTACCTTTTAGTGTTAGAATGCTTTGGCAGAGATTCTATAGGTATGCTTGAAATGCATTGTTTTAGCCACTTAGGCTCTGACTTACAACTGTATTTAGACACCTAAAGATTCAGATACTTGCCTACTGGGATTTCAAGAGTGTCTAAACATCAATAGAAAACCAATGGGACCCAGGTACATAATCTGCAGAAGTGGTTTTGACAATCCCCTGGAAGTGATCCTCACTTTTGAAAATCAGGTCCTTTCACCATTTCATCTGCTTCTTTCTCCTCTGATGATTTTTACTGAGACCATTTGGGGTATTTTTGGACAAATTCTTATACACTTGGGCTTAGTCTAGACTGCAGGGTTTTTGCACAAGAAGCCTTTTGTGGAATAAGCGCATACCGACCTCAAAGTGCATCGCAAAAGTGATGTGCTTTTGCGCAAGAGAGCATCCACACTGCATGGACACTCTTGCACAGAATGGCAATCAGAGCACCTGTGCTTTTTCCGATATGGGTTTCTTGCACAAAAACCCTTCCGGTGCGTCCACACCTGCCTTTTTGTGCAAGAGCTGTAGCGCAAAAAGGAGTTATTCCTCGTGGGGAGAGGAATAACTCTACTGGCAAAAGCCCTCTGTTCTGTCAATTTTCTTGCACAAAAATGCACTTGAGGTGTGGATGCTCTGCCAGTTTTTGCTCAAAAATGGCCGTTTTTGCCAAAAAACATTGTAGTGTAGACATAGCCTCATTGTACAGACCCTCTCAATCAAATACAAAATTTTTTCAGAAACAAATCAAGAACCAAAGGAAACTCTAAACTCTATATCTATTGGAGTTGTTAATATTATGTGGCAGCAGGTGAAACTCAAACAGATCTCATTGTTTTTTCTAGTCACTATAAAAGATACTGAAGCCTATCTCGGAGCTATTAATTCATTCCTCTCACTCTTTGTTTAGTGGCTGATAAAGCTGCCTACTTGATGGGTCTGAACTCAGCTGACCTGCTCAAAGCCTTGTGTTACCCCCGTGTCAAGGTTGGGAATGAATATGTGACCAAAGGTCAAACAGTGCAGCAGGTAACAATTGGTGAACTAGAAAGCACGATATGAATTAACACCCCAGGGCTTCTTTCTCTGCTTTTCATGGTAACTCCAGTCCTTCTCCCACTGGTTTAGGTGCACAATTCGGTGGGTGCTCTGGCAAAGGCTGTCTATGAGAAGATGTTCCTGTGGATGGTCGTTCGTATCAACCAGCAGCTGGATACCAAGCAGCCCAGACAGTACTTCATTGGAGTGCTGGACATTGCTGGCTTTGAGATCTTTGATGTAAGGAGCAAGGATTTGACAGAGAGACAGAGAGATATGAAGAGAGATTAAAAAGACATGCACTTTTCATCTTAGAAAAGAAGAGACTAAGGGGGGATATGAGAGATGTCTATAAAATCATGACTGGTTTGGAAAAAGTGAATACGGAAAAGTTATTTACTTATTCCCACAATATAAGAACTAGGGGTCACCAAGTGAAATTAATAGGCAGCAGGTTTAAAACAAACAAAAGGAAGTGTTTCTTCACTCAGCGCACAGTCAACCTGTGGAACTTCTTGCCAGAGGATGTGGTAAAGATTAGGACTTTAATGGGGTTCAAAAACACCCAAGAGCTAGAGAGATTCGTGAAGGTTAGGTCCATCAATGGCTATTAGCCAGGCTAGGTAGGAATGGAGTCCCTAGCCTCTGTTTGTCTGGAGGTGGGTAACAAGGGAGGGATCACATGAAGATTACCTGTTGTGTTCCCTCCCTCTGGGCACCTGGCATTGGCCACTGTCAGTAGGCAGGATACTGGGCTAGCAGGACCTTTGTCTGACCCAGGATAGCCATTCTTATGTTCTTATGACAGCAAATTCGTGGAAGGAACAAGCAGCGGCTTTAGGAACTTGGAGGGTTTAAAAAAAGCATATATTTAAATAGTTTCCTGGAAAAGCCTGACTTTTCTCTCACAGTAGTATGACTGTCCAATGGCTTTGTTTGGGTAAATGTGCAGTACATGTAGAAATGGCAATGACACTTAAACTGTGAACAGGCGGTACCTACTCGTGAAGAAATGCTCCTGTACCTAACACATCATTGAAGGCACCTAGAGCACTTAGGTCACTGCTCACTGAGTCTCTGGCAGGCTTGGGGCTGAGTACCCAGAAATATCCAAGTAGACCTGAGGGCTCAGAATAAGCTGTGGAGGCCCAGATACTATTATGACCAGGACCAAGGGCCTGGGCCCCAGAGCACAGAAATGGCTGGACAAGCATGGGCCTGACATTGCAGAAATGTTTAGGCAGGGCTGAGACTAGAGCTCCCCAAACAGCTGCTGGCTCTTGGGGGAAGAATTCAGAATCTCACTGAAACCGAGGTTGGTGAAACAGACCTGATGAGCTGAAAGAAGAGCCATTTTTATGTATTTCGGGAAGCCCAGGGCAGGAGTGCAGAGAATTTTACAAGTAGATAAATCTCCTTTTTTGCCTCTGTGCAGTACAACAGCCTGGAGCAGCTGTGCATCAACTTCACCAACGAGAAACTGCAACAGTTTTTCAACCACCACATGTTCGTGCTGGAGCAGGAGGAGTACAAGAAGGAAGGGATCGAATGGGAATTCATTGACTTTGGGATGGACCTGGCTGCCTGCATTGAGCTCATTGAGAAGGTTCTTAGGTTTTATGTACTCAAGGGATCTTTAGCGTCTAAAAGACTTTTGCATGCTTACAATAATGAACAAATGCATGCGCCAGTGCATGTCACTCATGGGTCTTGGGGTATGAAAATGTCTCGATCCACAATTGGTAAACTTTGGGATAGGTCCCAAGGGAGCAGCACGTAACTGTGTGGCAACACTCCATGTCCCTGCTCACTCTCATGGAGAAAAGAGTAGCGTAAGCTTTAGAACACTGGGAAATGTTAACTATTTTAAGGGTATCTAAGGAACTGCACTGCCTCGTCCCCAGACATGGCAGGTTTTGAATGATTCTCTAGCATGCAGGAAGTCAGTCTTGCACACACGAGGCAATTTTCCATGAGCGATATCTTTATTATTTTAAAACATTTGAATAGATACTATAGGTAGGCTGGCCTAATTTCAGCTTTTTGAATGCACATCCACTGATTCCCTGGTTCTTCTCAACACAACCAAGAGATGCTTGCGTTGGCCAGGAGGCTGATTTGTAATATCTATTTTTCCTCTCTCCTCTCGTCTGTGGCCGTTCATTTCAGCCAATGGGTATTTTCTCCATCCTGGAGGAGGAGTGCATGTTCCCCAAAGCAACTGATGTTTCTTTCAAGAACAAGCTCTACGACCAGCATCTTGGCAAGTCCAACAACTTTCAGAAGCCCAAGCCTGGAAAAGGAAAGGCTGAGGCCCACTTTGCCCTGGTGCACTACGCTGGCACTGTGGACTACAACATCACCGGCTGGTTGGAGAAGAACAAGGACCCACTGAATGAAACAGTCATTGGGCTGTACCAGAAATCGTCCCTAAAAACACTAGCTTTGCTCTTTGCCGCACTTGCTGGAGATGCAGGTAATTTCTGAAAAATTAGGTGGTGGTTTTGATACACAGCAGATGACTTGTATCAAACTAATGAAATATGCAAAACATAAACCTTCATAGATGTACCCATGAGATCCTTACCTTTTAATTTTGCAACTCTTTCTTGTATTATTCAGAGAGCGGTGGTGGCAAGAAGGGAGGCAAGAAGAAGGGTTCTTCTTTCCAGACCGTCTCTGCTCTGTTCAGGGTACAGTACAGTGCTCATTGTAAATATCATTTCAATGTGAATAAGAGAAGAAGACTGACTCCCTTTAACTCAGCAAAGCCTGGTTTCAAGTTGATTTTGGCATGCACATCCCTCCTTTCAAAGGGCAGAGGGCTGCAGTCCTCAATCAAAAAATACTTCCAGACAGGTCACTGTTGCCTCTGCCTAATTAACAGCACAAGAATAAGGAAGAGGCAGAGTTGCTTTCTCCTCTGAATGATGTCACAAATGATATAAAATGAAATCATTTTCTGCTATGAGGCTTAACGTGTTCCTTCCTCTACTGACTCTTTCAGAGGAGACTCAGTCAGGGTCATAAACTGTGCAGCCCTCACCCCATAAGTGGATGTTCTATTGGGGTCAGGACTGTAGGTGGCCCATCATGTCTGACTATAAAACAAAAGCTCACCCAGTTACAACCTTGTCATTTATGCCCCCTTCCCTTTCCTTCTCATCTTCTCAAGCATCTTGATTCACCCCGCTTGGCACCTTGGGTGTCACTTTCACTGGTCCAAAGGAATGCAAACAGGGTGAACAGCACTTCCAAATCAGAATTCCTCCTTCCTTCACATGAGTGGAGACTAGACAAGAGTGTGGGAAATGGAGGGTCGGCATCAGGCCTGGTTTTATTTTCACATACAATCCATTGCAATTTAAGTTCAGAATAAACTTATGATAATTCTTCCAGATTTTTGAAAAATGCTTTGTTTTAGCAACGCCAGTGGCTCCTTGTCCAGTCATCGTGACCATTTTCCATAGGCTCAGTTGTGATATTTTTAATTAAATAATTTCAATTTATTATCAAGTTTCAAAATTATAAGAAAGAGGGAGGTTTAGATTAGAATGTCTCCAGCTGGAAAGACCCGATAGCTAATTTGTCTGAATTACAGTTTGCTACAAATCATGATCCCATTACCAACATTTTACTCCATCTGTAGGTGTATATGCAGATGTAACATTGATTAACCTAAACCTCTGCTTATGGTGTCACAGGAGAATTTAAACAAGCTGATGAGCAATCTGAGAAGCACCCATCCGCATTTCGTGCGCTGCCTCATTCCCAATGAAACAAAGACACCAGGTGAGAAGCTCTGTCACACCGAGATCTTGGTGAGATGCAGCTGTTCCCTCTGGGCTACACAATCACGTACTAATTCATGCTGTGATTTGTTAAGGTGCCATGGAACATGAACTCGTACTTCACCAGCTCAGGTGTAACGGCGTGCTGGAAGGGATCAGAATTTGCAGGAAAGGATTCCCCAGCAGAATTGTTTATGCAGATTTTAAACAGAGGTCAGACTCATTTTATAAAAAACTTTAACTATCTTGTCATTTCAGCACCCAACATATTCTGTGTTTGTAGAAGAAATTTAGGACCAAATTG